CCAGGTTCCCTATCTGTCCCAACTTCATGACCAACCAGAAGCTGGTAATCACAACACAAGGCCCTCAGCAATCAACAGCCTTATGTTGGTTGTGCCTTTCTCACGAACTTCACTATATCATCGATCATTCACTCCCAGGCTAACCGCCATCCACTTGGGCTGGACGGTAGAGCGACTGTCTCGCTTCTTGCAGGTCGGTGTTCAATTCCCGACCGTCCAAGTGGTTGGGCACCGTTCCTTCCCCCCGTCCCATCCCAAATCCTTATCCTGATCCCTTCCAAGTGCTATATTATCGCAATGGCTCGGTGCTTCTTCCTGATACTACTCTTCCTAGGCTGCCTCATCATTGGGAATAAGTTTACTTAATATGTAGACTCACGTTACTGAAGACAACTGACCAGATGAAAGTTTTAGCACAGTTGCTCCTGATTCATCTTGTTCCCTTTATGATTGTTAGCATTACATTTTAGTTATTCACAATGGTTAATAAATCCAAAAGACTAACCAAAATTGAATTTCTAGAGACAGGCTTCATTGAGCTGATGTAGGATAACAGCTCTTAACTTACAGTTTCATTACGAACTTAGCACAATTATTATTAACTCTTGTGTTAGTTAAAAAAAAAAGAGAGAAATAGAGAGAAAATTAATAAAATAGAGACAGGCAAACCAAAAAGAAAAGAGACAGACAGACAGAAAGGAAGAGACACAAAACTCCACTTATGAAATCAGGATTAAACAGAAAAGTACGCAAGCAAATAAACCACGCACAGTGGCACTGAAATTAACAGTAAGTAAATATGGACACATTTACATAAACCACTGAATCATATTTATGCTATGAAAAACAATTTATATTCATAAACACCTTTTCAACTTACATTACCACTTAGCGTTATTCCTGCGGGAAGACCTCGCATCAACTAAGCAATATTTACACAGGAGATATATAATGCTCTTTAATAATCCCCACAATAATTTATTCAAATTCGATAATTGATAATTAATAGTATGCAAATTGTGACTGTCACTGACAGCCTGTGGGCTGCCGTTAGGCGTTGTTTGCTGGATAATACAATTGTATTTTTTTTTTTACAAGTTTATGAAAAGCCCAAAGTGGTCCTGGATGAGGGAGGGAATTATCAGGGGAAAGCGCCAAGCCATTATGACTATATAGCACTGGGAAGGAGTCAGGATAAGGATTTGGGATGGGACGAGGGGGTGAGGGGGTCCTGGATAAGTAGGATAATGCGGTAACAGCGAGAAGCATAGAATATCGACGCATGTGCTCTGTTGTGTATGCGTAGGAACGGAGAAAATACTTCTGTACTTAGGGACTTGGGCCATTCACTAATGACTGACTCTGTTGTCAGCTACTCGTTGATGTCACTCATAGATGGCACTCATAGTTGACACTCATGACTGCCGTTCATGGATGACACTCATAGCTACCA